AAATATCCACGTCTCCAGCAGCTTGAAGTAAATTTCAATAGTAAAAACTGACAAAAAATAGAATTTTTTTTTAAAGCAAAAATACAGATTCCTTATTCTCCACTGAATAAATTGACCATTACTTCTCCAACCTCAGCAGAAATAACACTTATTGATAAACACTGATGGTACCTGACATATACCAGAGCCCAGGAGGGTATGCCAGTGTTTCCAGACCCTGACTGGCCTTAGTTCAAATGCTACCTTCCGTATTCTGGACAGCAGGAGTACGCCTGGCAGTAAGGGGAGAGTATAGGTTTACAGCCTCAAACTGTAAAACCCACAGAGACTAGCATGTTGTTGTTGTTGGGTGTTGAGTACATTCCAACTCATAGTGACCCTAAAGAACAGAGTAGAACTGCCCCATGGGGTTTCCCAGGCTGTAATCTTTACAGAAGCAGACTGCCACATCTCTCTCCCTCAGAGAGACTGGTGGGTTCGAACCACTGACGTTTCAGTTAACAGCTGAGCACTGAACCACTCCACTACATGGAATCACTATGAGTTGAAATCGACTCAACAGCACCTAACAGCAACAAGAAGCAGATTTTAGCCACTTAGAGCCTGCCTGCTTTACACAGCCGGTAAAACTGCGACCAACATCTGCTAGCCAAGATAAGGTAAAACCCTCTAGTTACAAGGACCCTAGGATGCTGCTGTCCTTCTGAGCTCTCTGGCCCAGAGACTCCCTACTCTGCTGCAGGAGGACATCGCCTGGGGATGTCCCTTCTCCTCTTCCCCTGGGGTTTTTCATAAGCTCTTCGCCTTCTGGTGGCTCCCTGCACAGACAGCCTCTGGAAGGCCTCCTGCTGTGGGGGCCACCCCCTGCATGTAGTTGTCAATGCAACAGCTCCAATCAATACTAGTGGTCATACCTCTATTCTTGATCAGCCCTGAATTCCCTTAAGCTCACTATAGGTGGTGACCTCAAGGGAAAGTTCACCGTAAACCCTGAAATCTAGACACTAAGCTTAAACACTCTCTATACAACACAGACAGGCTTCCTCACTGACTTCACTGTATTTTTCTGTCATGTGAGGAGATGGGACTTGGGGCAGAGGGTCCTACTCACGTGGCTGAAGGAAGAGGCCAGAAACAACCAGGCGTTCAAAGGTCTGGCTGATTTATCAGCAGCTACATACACAGGTTGACAATCACTTATTTGAAAGCTTTGGGGCCAGATGAGTCTCAGAATTTAGATTTCTATGGATTGTAGAGGGTCAGTGAAAAACAGGAAGACCCTCAATGAGGTGGTTGACATAGTGGCTGCAACAATGGACTCAAACAAAGCAATGATTGTGAGGATGGCAGAGGACCGGGCAGTGTTTCGTTCTGTTGTATGTAGGGTCACTATGAGTCAGAACCAACTCCAGGGTATTCAAAAACAACAATACTTTAACACCCCCAGCAGGGTTTAGGGAAACATCTTTCAAACTTATTAAACTTTTTTTCAACAAAACATGAATATATTCATACTAATCCTCTATCAGGTCTGGTTGAATTTTGTTACCAAATGAGTGTGAAAACAAATCCAGAGCTCTCAGAATGGGGGATTTGGTACCAACTGGTTCACTTTCCTCCAAGCGGTATCTAAACCCAGTGATTCAGGGCCAAAGACCCTCAATAGGGAAAAGACAAATGGGGTGACTGCCAAAAACCAGCAGACACTCCCTGACACAGGAGGCCCATCAGACAGACCACCTGAGACACAACCAGTTCCTCTAGAGACTCCCTGATACAGAAAATGTCTTCTGAGCTGAGCTTCTCTGGCCTCAGAACACAAGAGAGAAGTGATTCCATAGAGCTTTCCATATGTGGAGGATCAGAGTCCCTTGGGCTATGGCAGCTGGCTCTAAGGGAGGACACAAAGCCCTTGGGTATATTCAATCCTGTACCATAGTAGTACCCATACAGCAGCAGTAGACCAGATTTTTCTGAGCCCTGACCCCATGTGAGTAATCTTAGCTCTACAAGGCTCAGTGCCAAGCGTGCTTTGATCTTACTGCCTTTGAGAAGCAGAAAGAACACCTTATAGCTACTGTCCTTCATCCTACCACCTGAAATGCCAGCATTCCCCAGGTTCTTCCTCCACCCCTCTTCTCTTTTCACTCTACACAAGCTCCCTGGCTAATAACATCCACTCTCATGGCCTCATCTCCCTCCTTTATACCGTTGACTCCCACATCTGAATCATTAGTCCCACTCTCCTCCCCATTTCTAACTTATTTTCCAACTGCCTTTTGGGTACGTCCACCTGGGGGCCTCATGTGCCCTCAATCTCCTGCTGTGGCAGGGACTACTGATGCCCGTTGATACCAGTGTGTTTCTCCCCTCTCCTTGCCCTGCAGTGAGAATGGTCATGTGATTGGTCCTGGCCAATGGAGGGTGAGCTGAAATGCTCCATGTCACTTCTGGTGGAGATGTTTAAGCACCTGGTACACCATTCCCATGTTCTTTTCCTCTTCGTGACGCCAGAGCAAGATGGTGGAGAATCAAAACAGAAACATTGTAGGTTTCTAGAAACATTCACTGCTTAGAAAAAGTCACTGGGCCCACATTAAGCTGTGACAGGAATAAACTCCTATGGTTAAAAATTACTAAGATTCTGGAATTATCTGACATAGTTGTTGTTGTTAGGTGCTGTCGAGTCAATTCCAACCCACTGCTACCCCACGTGACAGAGTAGGACTGCCACATAAGGTTTTCTAGGCTGAAATCTTTATGGAAGCAGATTGCCAGATCCTTCTTCCAAGGAGCCGCTGGGCGGTTTGAATCATCAACCTTTCGGTTAGCAGTCGAACGCTTAACCACTGTGCCACTATAGCTAGTGTTAATTACCTCAATACACCTGCTTTCTCCACCTGGCAAATTTCTACACATTCCTGAAGACTCTGGTTCAAATGCCACCTGCTCTGTGAAGCTTGACTTCCAAGAGAAAGTCGGCCACTCCACCCAGTGACTGCTAACAATTTGCTAATACATCTGACACAGCACTGATCTGAATCTATTGCCTCATTTCTGTTTGCATGCTGGATTCCCGTGTGTGTGTGTGTGTGTGTGTGTGTGTGTGTGTGTGTGTGTTTCTTTGTGCATCCCTGTATTCCCAGTGCCTTGGAAGTGCGAACTTCCAACATGTTTGATTTACTGACGCAAAGATCAGAGCTTTCTCACTCATGACAAGCAAACCCCAAGTCAGCACTTTTTCCTGAGTCACAGTGTTCTCAGCATTGTGCAGGAGGAAAGAGACACAAAAGACACAGTCGCCCGCCTCTAGGAGTATTTTGATCTTTAGATCCATTGTGCCCCATTACCTCCTGTCTTTATTAAAGGACAACTTCCATTTAAAAAATACATGGTCTTTTCAGGAACTAACAGCTAAAACATTTCTCAGAAATCAAGATCAAAGGGGTTGTGTAGTGGCAGATTAAAGTAGAACAGAGCCTTCTCTTAGGTCCTTTGAGCCAGGCTCACCCCGCTGGTCAGTTTAGATCATTGATCTGGCATTCTGGGATCATGCAGTTGTGTCCGTGTTATTTCTGTGTGAAAAGAGCTGCAGTGAAAGCATCACTGTCTCCTCAGGAACCCAGATGCGGTTACGACAGGCCAGCTGTACTGAGTCACGTCATCACCGCTTGGCAAAGCTTCCCACACCAAAAGCACAAAACCAGGTCACTAGCCAGGGAAACAGAACTAGGAACCTTTTCTTTTAAAATGCAGTGCACTGGCCAAAGAAATGTGCACCACGAGTGGTTCTCATTCTCCCAATTCTCTTAAGGACGTGCTGTAACTCTCAGTCCCAGCCCAAGGGAAATGGTGACCATAAATAGATGACGATCGATTATTAATGCAATTATTCACAAGGATTTCCCATACTAACATTTTACCTGCTGTAGATGAGGCTTTGAGCTCATCCACTTAGTGGACGTCAGACATGGTGTTGGCCACCCGTGCCAGCATCCCTGTGTTCGGACCAAGACATCCACAGAGGCCACATCCACAGTGTCAGGAGAGCAGAACGGGGCTTCCAGGACACATTTCTAGTGGGGCAGTGGTCGTTCAGTGGTAGAATTCTCACCTTCCATGCAGGAGACCCAGGTTTAATTCTAGGTCCCAACTACCATTCACAACTCATTCTAGGTCACTACTTGTTCACAACTACCACCCATCTGTCAGCAGAGGCTTCCAGATGAAGACGAACGAGAAAAAAAGGCCTGGAGATCTATTTCCAAAAATCAGCCAGTGAAAACCCTGTGGATCACGATGGTCTGATCCAAAACCCAACATGGGAATGGCCAGGCCTGGGCAGTGTTTTGTCTCATCATGCATGGGGTCACCATGAGTCAGGGGGACAACACCTAACAACAACAAAGGATATATTTCTAGTAGGATTTTCAGACTGGTAAATAGAACAAGGTTAGACTACTGTATATTGAAGGTTAGGATCTGCAGACAGTGGGAAAGATTAGGAAAAAAAATTGGAGAGGTAACTTAGTAGAAGGGAATGTAGACTTTGGGAGGGCTGTGGGACATTCTGAAGTTAACTAAGTATCACACATGGTAGATATGAGGCACATCAAAAGAGAGGACACTAAAAGGGAGTGCTACACGCTGGACACATCTCTTAGCTAGTATCTATCTGGGTCATAACAACGAATATAATAATGATGACTACCCCGGATCCCATTCATGATGGCAGCTGCAGGCCACACTTGGAAAACAAGAAAATGACTTAAAACAGCACTGTCAGGCAACTCACCTTGTATGAAGATCCTGTCCCAGTAGGTTCTCCCAACTTGGTTTCCTCCGAGGAACACCAGGTTGGACAGGATCAGCATTGAGGTGGAACAAGATGCAAGGGCGGCGTGGCATCGGCGGCGAGCTCGTGGGGAGAGAAACCGGACCTGAGGAGGAAAGTTAAGGAAGGTGTCTCATCACAAAGGTAGAAGGATGGAGACATCACCGAAGTCTTTCTCTAAACTCTGTCACCATGCTAGAGTCTGATGTCTCCCCTCAGAGTCTGAGTCAGGTCACTATTTAAACAGCTCTCGAAACTTCATTCCTGCAACATGTTCACTCTGGTCTGAAGAACGAAATGACCTCCCTCAGGTTGTTACTTCCTCCTGCCAAAACGAGCTTCCCTCTGACCTGTGTAATATAAGTACTGAAGCTAATTGAGATTAATGTCCCCTCCTCACCCAGATGGAATGTCTCCTGAGTGTAAATGTTTTTTGCATGTAAATTTATAGGTGCAAGAAGTGTTTAAACTGCTTTCCATGATAACTAGCACAGCTCCAGATAGTGAGGTCAAGATCAGAGTGATCTTCTGGGCCATTAACTTGACCTTGGGAAGCCAACCGACCACTCTGTAAATCTGACCCACTATTAGGAGAAAAAAGCCCTGGTAACAGCTCAGTTAAGCACTCTGCTGCTGTCCAAAAGGCTGGCTGTTTGAACTCATCCAGCAGCTCCGCTGGAGAAAGACCTGGCAATCTGCTCTCATAAAGATTCCAAAACCAAACCAAACCCATTGCCATCATGTCTATTCCAACTCATAGCAACCGTACAGGACAGAGCAGAACTGCCCCACAGGGTTTCCAAGGAGTGGCTGGTGGATTCATACTGCGGACCTTTTGGTTAGCAGCTGAGCTCTTAACCACTGCATCACCAGGGCTTCTCATGAAGTCTACAGCTTAGGGAATCCTATAAGGCAGTTCTATTCCGTCACAGGCACTATGAGTCAGAATCAACTCGATGGCTTCTAACAACAACAATAAACAACATCAGGAGGAACTCCATAAAGAGACTGCGGGAGACTGGGTACGAGCCAACCCCATCCTGAAATGGGAGCTCAGAGTACACACTCCTCTGATGGTGAGTTCACAGCGGCACCAGAGAACGGTGGCTTCTCACAGTGCCTGAAATACCACTGGGGCGGACAGATGTTTTCCAGCAACAATGATAAAGAAATGTGCTCATCCATCCTAGCTCGTCCGTGCACTCTTGCCTCTCCTCATGATATTTCCTCAAGGTTTCATAACGCAAACAAAGCCTTTATTTCTCAGCACTGGCCATTCTGGTGGTCCCTCCAAAGTGTGGTCACAGCGCTGTGTTTGAGGTGTGTGAGCCCCATTAGGACATCCACAGGGACCGTCCTTCAGGACTATGTAATCAGAATGGGAACTGGATGTAGAACAACAGCCAGGTATATGAGACCCCAGGGCTTCTGGCAAACACCTCAGCCTAATCCAAAGACATAGAAAAGAGAGGGAACAAAAGGCCTAGAGATTTTTCCTGCTCCTGAAACCTACACATCTCGGGCCATATACACCCTGATTCCAGGTGGTGCAAACAGTAAACATGTTCAGCTGCTAGCTGAAAGGCTAAAGGTTCGAGTCCACCCAGAGGCACCTCAGAAGAAAGCCCTAGTGATCTACTTCCAAAAAATCAGCCACTGAAAACTCTACGGAGTGCAGTTCTACTCTGACACACACGGGGTCACCATGAGTCAGAACTGACTCGACAGCGACCGGCACTGGTTCTAATTACAAACAGAATTCTGAATTGCCCAACAGCAAGAGCCTATACAACTTCTGACAGGCAAGAAGGACTAAGCCAGAGAGTGAGCCTCCAGCAGGAGGCTTACTTACTTACAGTGACCCTGCTGGGGATCATCTGTGACCACTTTGTAAGCCCTGATCAGTGTCCCCTCGAAACCTAGAGACATAAATTCTGCTCCCCCCCTTCTTTCTTCCCTGCCCCAGGGTCTGTTCTGTGTATTCAGATCCAGCTGTTACCATATACATCCTTATCCACGGTTCTCTCCTCCACCACTTTGGGGCCTGGTTTTGCTGCCACCAGACTTGGAAAAGCCATGCAGGGCACACCGACTGAGTTGTCTGCCTGGACATGCTTATTCTGAAACCCTCTCCAGTGACGCTGATGTATCCCTGGTGATGCTACTGGGTGAGATGACCTCTAGTCTCTCTCCCAGCTGCAGGAGGCCACGAGTGTATACAGGCAGTGCCGTCAAACAGGGGCAGATCCGAGACAACTACACAATATAAAATCTGGTAATGAAAGAGATAGAGGGACAAGCAGGCTTGAGAACAAGGGACATTAATCTACAAGTTTCTGCATTTCAAAATAGGAAGATATTTTCTGGATATTACTGACTTGATTAGTAGCAACTGGGGAGGCAGACTGGGAGGAAGCAGAGAGATATGGCAAACAAAAACAAAAAAACCAAACCAATAATAAATCAAAAAAATATGACTAATCACAGGAAAAAAAAGAAAGAAAATATGACTTCTCTTAATTGGCATAAATCTGTCCAAATAACTGTCTCCAGGTAGAGGGACCATCGATAACACATTTGATTTCTAAGGAGTCTGAAGGGACAGAGACTTTGCCCAATCACTCTCCCTCCACCTTACTGTTGAGGAATTCAAAGCTTCACGCCATCTTTCCCTTGTTAATGTCGAGCACAGAGAAGCCACAGAGCTTGGCTAAGCTCAATGTGGCTCCTCCTTTTTGGGCAATGATTACAACTATTATATAAACAATACAGAGATACTGAGAGAGGAACAGTATCTAGTGGGTTGCTAAGCTGGGGCTTTGGTGCCCAGTCATCTTGTCCAGGGAAAGGGCTAGGCTGTAAATGGAGGCAGAGCTGAGGGCAGGGAGCACGGTGAGGGAGGGAGAGAGGGGAGAACACGTTCTGGAGGCACAGTGTTCCTGCTTCTACCCCTGAAGCCCTGGTTCCTACAGACCTGCCTTTGATTCTGTGATTACCCTAGGATCTTTCTCAAATACATGATTCAATAAATTTCTGCTCAGCAAAAAAAAGCAACTGTGAACGAGCCTCAGATCTGAGAGACAGGAGGGAGGACATTTAAAATCTGAAAAAAACTGACTGCAATTCAAGTTTTAGCAATACATGATTTTCTTTTCTTTTTTAATAGTGGGAGTGTTAAAGGCACAGTCTGTTGGAATCAGTAAGCTACAAACACTTAAAGGAGAAACCAAGGTGCCACAGGCAATTCTTGATTATTCCTCTGGGTGAGTGGGTGGGAGACAAAAAGATCATGATAAATGAAATCCAGAGAAAATCCAAAAACATATTTTTAACTAGCAGCCCTATCCTCTGAACTGACAAAGCTAGCCTTGCCAGTAAGCAGCAAAACTGACAGAGCATCGCTTCTTTTCTTTGTGAGTCAGTGGGAGAACAGAATGAAGAGTGGCAAGGAAGGGGAAAAGAAATGGCGAGTCTGGATAATTTATCCAGTCCCTGTGTGGTGGAAATGGCTGCCAACCAACAGTTGGAGGTAGGAGTACAACCAGAGGTGCCTCAGAAGAAAGGCCTGGTGATCTACTTCTGAAACATCAATTATTAAAAACCCAGTGGAGCATAGTTCTACTCTGACACACATAGGTCGCTGTGAGCAAGGTTAACTTGATGACAGATGATTTGGCTAAACCACAGGGGGGTAATAATTCACAGCAAAGGGGATCTAAGTTTTGGCCGCAACCCACCTCTTCTCTTTGGATTCCCCGAACACACCATAGAAGGTGACCATTGTGACATTAGGAATCTCTCGCTTTACTTTGGGAACCATCTGGTCTTTCTGCTAATGGTTACAAGAACTCTAGTGGTAAGTATCACACTTAGGGTCCCAGAGGAAAAATGCCACATGGGCAAGGCTCGAGGGTGTATTCCCTTAGCCCAGCCAGCTCCATTAATAAATTTGATTTTCTGAATCTCTAGGACTATAGGGTCAAAGCCCTCACTTTAAAGGCTTTGATTCTTTTACACTCTCTCCTCTGAAGTCCTACAGCCATTGTTTCCATCACTCCTGTGGACCTCCACACTAGGATGTAGGTTGCCCACGATCAGGGGCCATGCGCCATATGCTAGTAACCATCCTCATGGCTGCAGTGCTTGAAACCCCCTTGATAGGAAAACTCATGTTGAGGAATGTAAACATAATCACAAAAAATCAATGCACAATGAAGAGTCATCAGGAATGAAAATAATAATTGCCAACTTGATCATATAAGACAATGGGCAAACAGACTTGGTTTTCAGTAACACTAATTTTTTTTTTTTTTTTTAACCAGTTGCCACTGAGTCAAATTCGACTCATGGTGACCCCACGCGTGTCAAAATAGAACTGTGCTCCATAGGGTTTTCAAGGACTGAATTTTCAGAAGTAGACTGCAGGCCTTTCTTCCAAGGCACTTCTGGGTGGACTTGAAACTCCAACCTTTGTATTAGCAGTTGAATGCATTAGCGATTTGCACTACCCATGGACTCCAATGCTAATATATCAAGATGGAAAACAGTTCTGGTCTGGTCATGGACTCTGTCTTAGTTATTGTCTTAGGCTGGGTTCTCTAGAGAAGCAAAACCAGTGAAGCATACACACACACACACACACACACACACACACATCAAGGAAATGTCTCAAGCGGTTGCACAGACTGGAAAGTCCCAAGTCCATGGGTCAGGCTGGAGGTTTCTCCTGATTTACGCAGCTGCAGGGGCTGATGAACCAAAGAACAGCAGGTAAGACAGCAGGCCTTTGGCTCACAGGCTGCAAAGACTGGCAAATCCCAAGACTGGCAGGTGAGCTGCTAGCTCAAGTCCCAACAACCGGAGGCCAGATGTAGGATGCAGAGTGAGCAAAGACCACAAGCCTTGTCAGAAAGTCCACATATATTGGATGTAGGCCACAACCCCAAGGAAACTCCCTTTCAACTGACTGGCTGCTAATAGCAGATCTCATTGTGGAGGTGATTACATTGTATCAGATCTCATTATGGAGGTGATTACATCATTATATGAGTATACTGCTGTCATTTTGTTATCGTTTTTTCTTGGTGCTGTTGATAGGTTCTTTGC